CATCGACTCAGCGTCGACTCAGCGTTGACTCGACATAAATCAGACAGTGGAGATAAACAGTCAACCCAGCATTTCCTGTTTCTAGCGTCGACTCAGCGTCGACTCATCGTCGACTCAGTGTTGACTCAGTGTTGTTGTGTTATAACTCGGCCGTTCTTCAGGTGGACCTGACTGACATCAGTTCAGTCTGACTCTAACTCCTTAGTTTTCCTTCCGTTCCTTCAGAATGAGCTGTTGGTGGAAAGGTCTTAAAAAAAAAGAAAAGTTTTTCAAAAACACCTCAAAAAACAAAGTTCTCTACCCACACCCACCCACGGCAGCGTTCCAGACCTGACAGGTGATCCCAGAGTCACCGATGTGCCGTGTGTTTGCTAGAGCGCTGACATCGCTCTGAGACTTTTACTGCTGCCTGGAGGATTTAGGAGAGAGAAGTGAAACTAAAGTAGAGCTGGAGCAACTTTAACTACACACACACACACACACACACACACACACACACTCCCTGTCAACACTCAGGAACACACACAGTGAACACTGGCCTCTCTTCTGTCCACTGTTTCTGGACTTAACTGAAACAAACTTCTTCAAACTTCCATCACTCTTCCTCCTCCTCTTCCTCCTCCTCTTCCTCCTCCTCTCTGCTCCTCCTCCTACATCGACCTTCTCCTGTCAGCTTCTAACCCTTGAGCTTCTTCTCGTTGTTTTCCTCTTCCTCCTCCTCTTCCTCCTCCTCTCTGCTCCTCCTCCTACATCGACCTTCTCCTGTCAGCTTCTAACCCTTGAGCTTCTTCTCGTTGTTTTCCTCTTCCTCCTCCTCTTCCTCCTCCTCCTCACCTTCACCGGCCGTCGGCCTGAAAACCATCCTGACCATCAGTGCTGTCATCACTCTTCTGTCTCCTCTTCACCCCCCTCCCCCCTCCCCTCCCTGGCTGTTCACACACACACACACATTATTGATAAAATCTAGAACTTTTACCCTGAGATGATGTCAGTGTTTTATCTTCTTCCTCGTGATTTCACCTCCTCCTCCTCCTCCTCCTCCTCCTCCTCGTCCTCTTCTACCTTCTTTTGGACGTCTCTGAGGAACATTGACAAGAACATACAGTCTGGGTACCGTTTGTATTTTGGCTGGGGTTAATTAAATTAAATTTTTGGGGTTTTTTTTTTTTTTTGTTTCCTGTGTCTTGTTGAGTTTTATCTAAAGACTTTTTAACATTTAATAAGTCGTTGTTTCCTGGACAGCAGTTGGATGAAAGACAAATGAATCTGCAGCAAAAAAAACAAACCCAAAAAACAGTCTGTGCAGATGATGATAACAGATATATTTTCTATGTAATTCTTCTTCATATACTTGAGACATATCCCCAGTGAGTGCACATCCTAATTACTTCTGTATCAGACTTTTTAAGAGTAAGTCCTAAGAATAAAAAGGCATCGGCACTTCTCTCTATCCCATAATTTGTCCCTAATTCTCATCCCAACTCCAAACGAAATCTTAAATATCAAGAAAAAAAAAAAACAGCCAAATGTCCCCACGAGACAACGCGTCCCCAGAACAACTGCGATTTTGAAGGAAATCGTCCCCACAAGTGTGCCTGTACCAGTAAAACAAACACACATACACATTTTTCCTCCTCCTGCAGTCCCCCTGCCACAGTCAGGTTGTACCTGTGTCGTTTTTTGATACGCTCTCACGGTTCAGTCAAACAGCCCAGGGCCATCCTTCACTCACTTCCTGTCAGCCCGGCTGCTCGTCTGTGTCTCACTGAGAGGACGTCTTTAACAAAGTCCTCGTCCCCAGAAGACGGCACCCCCTCAGTTTCTTCTGCTAACTGCAGCTTGAAGAACGGAGAGAAGGTGGTCAGGGAGTTAGAGGAGGAGAGGGGGGTCAGAGGGAGATCTGTGACCTTTATATTTGGTCACCTACAAAGTCAGTAGTACTGAGTAGTAGTTAGTAGTAGTTAGTAGTAGTGAGGAGTTTTTTGGGGGGGTCTTGTCCTTGTGAATACTTCATCTCGGAATTTGTGTGAATTTTTTTTGACATCACGCAGTAGAAGATAAAGGAGTTAAATAAGTAAACACTAACTTGTTGTGGCCACATGGTGGACAAAGTGGTTATTGCGCTTGCTTTACAGCAAGAAGGTCATGGGTTTGATGACTGTCTGATCTCACAGAGTGTGTGTGTGTGAATGTGAGTGTGAATTCTGGTGTGGAACTGTTGAGTGTGAAACGTCGCTTCCGTCCGATGTCATGGTCGCGCCTCATTTTTATCCGGTACTATTTTATCAGCGGGTTCTTTAATGATTCCCTCTGTTCACGTCACGTCGTTCCACAATCGGTTCTCTGTCTCCTGACTTCGTATCTGAAGAAGAGACCCAGACCTGGTCCTCGGCTCCAGCCTGTTCCTTCCTTTACTCCCCGTGTGTGTTGCTGCTAGCTTTGGCTCTGACGTGGCCCACAAGTTAATTAAAACACCATGTGGTCCGTGGCCCGCTCTACAGGCGGAGATGGGGGAGAGAGGGAGAAACAGAAGTGAGGAGAGACGCCGCAGGAGGGGAGGAGAAATCCTGCAGGAAGGTTGAAGGGACAAAAGGAAATTATCAACCTGTCTGTCTGCGTTAGCCTCAACCCCAGGTCGGGAATCGCTCTTAGGATTTAGAAGATTTTTATTGGTTTTTGGATCTCAGAATTTTTTGATATTATCGGCCCGATATTAGCATAATTATCTAATATCCATAAGAATCGTTATCGCTTTTTCTTCCGATAATGAAATCCTGATTACACAATGCCTGGGTTTCACCAAATGATGTGTGACCTAAAAATAGTTTTGGGGAAAAACGTCTGTATATGTAAGTGAAAGCCACTAGATGGCAGCATTGCAGCTCATTTTATTAATCTATTTTAATAATCAGGGGATTGTATGGAGAATGTTGGTGTCAGGAACTGATACAGTGGTTTGAACAGATAAATATATATTATATAGTATTTCAATTTGGGGTGAAACATTTATCAGGGCCTTCATAGTATTTCAATTTGGGGTGAAACATTTTTGACCACTGGGGGGAGCTTGGCAGAAAATTATTCAGAAACACTGCTTTAACTCATCACCTTAAAGGATATCGGCAAAAACATCCCTAGTTTTTACCAAACTCACAAAAAAAAAAATTTAATTGTACTAATCTACGCTTTGAAGTACAACAGTACTCGCAGTACATACATTGAAACATGTACAGCAGTGTAGTAAATGTGCAGGCACAGAGGCATTAACAGACATGTTTGGGTTTTTTTTGTTTAGAAAGTTTGTGTTGTTTTTCAGAAAAAAAGAAAACCCGACAGTTGTTCCCCATTTTCAACACACACACACACACACACACTCTCCTACCCCCCCCGCCCCCCACACACACACACACCTCCAAATAAGGTCCTTGACAGCGTGTTCTAAGTGTTACATGCAGTCGCTAATGCTTTGCTAATCACCTCAGTCAGGATCGCACAGCAGGACGCTGTACCTCGGAAATACGTCTACACACACACACACACACTCTGACACACACACACACACACTTGTGCGCTCATCGACTGTTGTATTCCTGCGTCAAACTTCCAGAGTTTTCTCTGCCTCTCCATCATTGTTGCTCAGGTTGT